TGCATTTGAGCTGTAGACATACGATTTTTTTCTTGACCTGGATGCCTTGACCCCCTCATTGTTGAAGCGTTGAGATTATGGCTATCAATGCCAATCAGCAGCCGTGTGGCAGAGTGCTTGTCGCTCCCCCTCAAATTGGGAAGTTTGAACATAGGCCTCTCAAACACAATACCGAATCTTTGTTGATAAAACTACGCAATTATCTGAAAGCAAACGGCAGTAATGAACTAAAATGTTTGGGGGTAACTAAAATGTTTAAGGACCGAATCATTCAACTACTATTTCAAAATTGACAACCAGCCCCCCTCTTCGAGCGACACCAAATCAACTTTCATATTGCTAATTTTACCTCAGCAAAGTGCAGAATTTGAACGGCTGACAATTTAGAGGTTGAAATTTAGGAATATTATTAGCCTGCAACGCTGTGATTTTCTTAAACAATATACTAAGATTATACAATATATATACTTTATATATAGGCAAAAAATGTGAAGTGTGGCATTATTGCTCAATAATGAAAATATTGCTATACTGTTATCAAATATAAAAGGAGATTTATTTATCTAATCAAGGAAAAGTTCGCAGATCAAAAGCCAATTGTAACTGTACATAACTTTGTAGAATTTTTAGTTTCCATTTGGCCGTCGTGTCCAAACTGTTTATCACAGGCCATATTTCTGCAACTCGAATTGCTCACTGGAAGCGATACATTGCGAGCCTTCCAGAGGTTCTGTTCAGATTTGTCAGAAAATGTTTGATACAGCAACTGCCGACAAATGCAAATCTGTCCAGATGATGAAAGTCTTCCACTGCCCAGTGTTCACTATGTATCAATCAACAAACTAAGAAACATGTACTCTCCAACTGCAGCACAACATTGACGGTAATGAGGCACACAACAAAATTTTAACAATAATTCACGGAAAGTTGAAATAATGTGCCAAGCCAGAAGCCTCCATTTTTGCTGATTTAGAGACAGAAGAATTTTAACCACCATCTCGCCTATTCAAGTTATTGCGACCAGATTTTGTATTGCTACGAAACTAAACAATTGAAATACTGGAATTAACAGTCTGTCACGTGACTAACTTTTTTAATTCTAAAGAATAAGATACTCTAAATACTCTGATAGCTTCCAAAATAACTTAATTGACGATTTTAAAATTTTAAAAATATAAATAAATACATTCGAAATCTCAAATCTAGGTTTATTCAAAATATTTAATTTATCTCATGTAAACATTTTGTCGGATAATTTTTGCAATAAATCTGCAATATCGTCGCGGTACGCTATTTACTGCGATAGTATTGTGACTTGAATCAATTTTGAAACAAATTAGCTCTAGTTATACTCATTCTCTTTGAATGAATTATTTATTCTATTCGGAATTTTATTTTATTGTCATTTTCATTGTTTTTATTGCTGATTTTTGGACCAACGTGTAATTTGTGTTGGGGTAATTAATTTACCAATTGATTTGAGTATAGTCTATTGAAATTGCAATTTGTTCATGTAGTTGAGACATGCGTTCACTCTGGTTTTTTCGTGAGACTGCTTCAGTGAGCCTGTTTTATCCAGCAAATTATCCGACTTGATGAAATTTGAAGTGGTTTCACGCCTTAGGTATTGGATTTCATTGTTGACGTGTTGTTTTTCATGTAGCTGCGAACTTTCAGTTTTGTTTTTTCCGCGGTCTCTCTTAGTTACACAATGTTATTTCCGCCAAGCTTCACTGGTAGCGAAAGTATCTGCGATACACATCCACTGATTGTCATATGGAGCCACTCTCTAACTTTACCTATTATCAAGTTATCCAAGTTAGACGATATCCATGTTGAGAAATCGTAACTGTGAAATTCAAACTGTAGCTGTGTGGGAATATAATATTGTAATAACTAAAGTTTTTGTTGTGGCTTGATGTCTAAAACTGAGGTGGTCTCTAGTAGTTTGGTTAATTTTGAAACTATTTCTTTTTTGGCGCCCATGTCGCAGCTCTCATAATTATATAATTTGCCTAGGTATGCAAAGCTGTTTTCCATTTCGATTTTCTAAATAACATCATCATCAATTGTCAGCAAGAGAAGTACCCCGCAAAGCATTAACAACTATCACACATTTTGTAGACCTTGAAAAAGCATTTGATCGAGTTCCCCGTGAAGCAGTCAGGTGGAGTCTACGTCGACAACTCATTCCAGAATATCTTGTTCGACTTGTGATGGAAATGTATACGAAAATTAAAACTCTCGTCAGCACAACGGTTAGAAACACAGATGCATTTGACATCGGCGATGGAGTTCACCAAGGCTCAATTCTCAATCCACTGTCATTTATAACTGTTATGGAAAAAATCACAAAGCCGATACGCACTGGTGCCATTTGGAATCTAATATATGCTGATGATATTGTTTTAACAGCCACGTCTGAGCAGAATGCAGCACAGATGTTTGAAGATTGGAACACCAGACTGGCCTATCATGGATTCATAGTCAACATCAGCAAAACCAAAGCAATGAACACTGGTGAACCCATTCAATCCACAGCTACTGGACGATGGCTCTGTTCAGTTTGTAAAGATGGTGTAGGTAACAATTCAATCAAGTGTCAGCAGTGTAACCAGTGGTGTCACAAACGTTGTTCGAAAATAATTGGTAATTTATCTAAAGTGTCCAATTTTGTTTGTCCTGCTTACATCAATCCACAACAATAAATTCGAAATAGCAATGTTTTTGAAGCCATTAAGGTAGAAAGTCACATACTTTCAATATCTAGGGGATGTTCTGGATTGTACTGGAACAGCTGAAGCTGCCGTCGAGCACGCATACGTGCAGCCTGGAATAAATGGCATCTCCTTGCCACTATATGGATGCAGCGTGACATCCCACTACCACTACGATCAAGACTTTATAAATCTGAGATACGTTTGACGTTGTTATATAGTTCAGAAACATGGCCAATGACAATCAAACAGGAACAACAACTTCACCAAACCGATATGAAAATACTCCTATGGATGCAACGAATTAGTTGAAGGACCACATCAATTCAACCGAAATCCGGCGTCGTGCTGGTTTAGTTGATATAAAGGACGAATTCCGGCAACACCGTCTGAGGTGGTTTGGTCATGTCAAACGAAGTGGAAACAGTGCCATAACTTTTCTTGCAGATGTTGAAGTACCTGGCACACGTCCCAATGGCCGTCCAAAGAAGTCCTGGTCGCAAATTATCGAGCAAGACATGAACGCTCTAAATTTAAATGAAATGGATACAACTGATCGCCTAATTTGGCGCAAAAAATTGTTGGCAAAGAAAACAATGTCCTACCTCGAGAGAACTGGGTTTCTGGACGCTAAACGATGTTTGATTGATTGATTTTTATTAATGGAAAACGTGAAAAGAACGTGTTGTAGGTTATAGATCTAAAATTTGCCGGATCGTTGGCCTCTCCTTTTTTATAAATTAAAATCGTTAGACCTCTTCTCCAGCAGCTTGAAATTGTAGATGCGGCCCAACATTTTGACAGTAATTTGTGTTCTGAAGATCGGGCATTTTTTAAACATTGTGGTTGATATCTGATCTAGCGGGCACGGTGAAGCTTTGGATCTGTTTTTACGGATGATTAATGAAATTTCTTCATACGTTGGCGGTCCATATTGCTATTGACGACCGATGGAGTCAAAGGAGGAATCCATTCGGGAATTGTAAAATTTTTTCTGTCACCCGACTTTATTGCGCTTCCAATGTGGTCGCTACCTTCTTCAACTTCAAACAATGGAGGCAGTGGTATTGATAGGAAAACGTTCGTTTAAATGTTCGTTCAAAAAGTTTTTTAACAATAAAGGGTATAGCTGATTGACCGCCAGATGTCGCCAGATAGAGGAGAAGTCGATTTGGAACTGGCTTCAGACAAAAGGGAATTCTCTATCAATTTTATTTTTTATTTTAAGTTCTTATTTAATTTGATATGATTAGAAAATTGATTCGCTTCCGGTTGATAGTCATTGAAGATGTGGTTGCATGTTAGTTAGGATTTTAGAACTGGCAGAAACTTTTATAAAAGAATGCGAACAATTTAGACTAAAAATTAATGTTTAAAAAGTTAAATTATAGATAACATATAGGCAATTTTCCCTCTAAGGAAGAACAAGCTGTGAGTAAAAAATAAATTCATTGAGCAAGTATTTTAACAGTTTGAGCAAATTTGCGATAGTCGAAAAACTTTTCGTACCAAAACGCTACCAAATACATAAATATGTGAACATATAAATAAGGTTTATTTATATATTTATTAAAATAGGTGTATAATTCAGTTAGAAATGTTAAAATTCAAAAAATATAAAAAATTACTTTAAATCAATTTTGTTCACTAGTTTCTCTTCTGCTCTTGTTAGTTATCCAGAATTTATAAACTTCATCAATGTCAACTCGGTGCCCACACAATAAATAAAACTTTATTCAAATTAACCTGTCCAGATGGTTTATTTCAAGTCTGTTCCGTGATTTGGTTTTAATAGAATTTACCAAACTAAAACCACGTTCAGTATCAGCACTTGAAGCTTGAAAAGTACCACATATATCAATAAAAGATTTCATAGTAGTAAACTTTTCTTCCATTAGCACAAAATCGATCACATCATTGAATGCTTTCACATTTCCAAATTCAAGTTTCTCTTTTAAAAAAATTTAAAATTTTTTTATTCAGATAGAATTTCTGCAAATGAGATCTCAGGAAGCAAATGTTTATATCTTTCAACTAATACATCTAATTCTCTTTTTCCAAATATATTTTGAAGATCTTGAAATTGAACAGCTTCTATAGTTGATATACAACTCCCTTGAAATTTATTAAATAAATCAGATAGCTCAGTTAAAAAACATCATTAAGTATAAATAAAGCAACATGAATTTGGGGTTTTTGCAATTCTTTTAAGCAATATTTTGCTATCGGATCATTTTTTGTCTCCGCTTGATTTTTAAAATATTCGACTTCTTGACATCCACCTCACACTTCATTAACAAGATCATCTCTATGCGCTACACAATGCTGTTCAGTAAGATGCGGAACCTCAGCACGAATCAGCGCAGCAACTCTATTCCTTTTGCCTAACATAACTGATGCACCATCTGATGTGAACATAATTATATTAATAAAAATAACATAAATAAACATCTAATTTGTTTCTGTATAAAACTGTTTGATTGCCATGAAAATTGATTGGCTGTCACAGGCTGTTACCTTTACCATGCCAGCAAAAACAGTTTTATGAAACTTGGTTTCTGCCTTTCGATACTTTATATAAATAATTAACATCTTCGTAACTGATATGTCTGTGGTTTCATCTACAATCAGCGTGTGGAATACTGAATTTTGAATTTCTTTAATGTGTATCTTTTGAACGACAGCATTAATACATTCAACAAATTCAAAAGCATAATTTTGCAATTGACTCCAAATGAGTTCTATGCGTAATGTGTCTTTTCAAATAATCTAATTTCCACAATTCCAATTTTTTGCCACTTGAAAATTCATTGCATGCTTTGGCTTTAGTGCATATTTTGCAAATCAAACCAACATCTTCTGAAAAATCAAAAATATTTTTTAATTGCACGTTTTTCAAAACTTTTGAATCAACAGTCCCAGTTTTCACAATTTCTTTTAACCAAGCTTTTTTGAAAACATTTGCAGCCTTGTTAGCTTTTGATGAGCCATCGGTATTTTCACGTTGTCGCTTCATAACGAAAACTTAAATTAGATCGCAAAAACAACTGTTTAATGTTAATCGGTATTTATCAGAACTTTCTACAAAACGATTTAACGTTATTATCAATTGATAAATGAATAAAGCTTTCACATTTCTGACAAGTAAACACAGTGATAAATGCGGCGAAATATGACGAACGATGAAGCGCTTAATTCGAAAAAATTTTGAAAATACGAGGTTTGGTGATATAAAATTGAAAAAAAATTATGTAAACTTTTGTTCTTACAATATGGAGTTAGTTAGTTCTGCGCGGAAGGAAAATTAGCTGCGCCAGCGTGATCAAACTACTGCGCGGGCGCCCAGCCAGGCAGCTTAGAGGGAACATTGCATATAGGAAAAAGTTGCTAAACTGCTCGATTTTTAGCATATCTGGACAGTGAACTTGAAGTTTTAGAAAGAAAAAAAAACATGATATCTGTAAAAGAACATGGTGTAATGTTAAGAACAAGAGTTTTGTCATTCTATTTACCTGCGGATAGAGCTCGAAGCTAGGGGTAGCACATGAAAAAAATGAAAAGGAAAGCCGCAGGCGGTTCTGAAGTGATGGTCACTGAGACTTAGAAAACGGAAGGACAAATCTCTTCGGCAGCTTCCATGGCAACTGAGCGCCCTGTTTAAGGCTCACATTGCTACCTCAAAGGAAGAGGGGTTTAGAAAATGTGGCCTAAAAATTGTTCATTCTCAACCTTTTCCCAAATGAGTAACCTCCTCATTGGGTATCTTCCTTAACGGTCAAAAACAAAAATCGACTTGTTGACCTATTCGATTTGGAACGTCCGAACGCTTTTGGACCGAACTGGGACGGAACGACCTGCGCGGCGCACCGTTCTTATTGTCCTCGAGCTGGGCTACTCGACATTGTCTCACTGTCTGAAACCCGTCTGCTGGTTGAAGTAGAGGCATGATATACATTTTTTGGAGGAGTTTGTCAGGCAATGATCCGCAGATTCATGATGTTGGTTTTGCAGTCCGTACAAACTTACCAAAATAAATTACTGAGACTCCAGTTTGGGTTAGCGAAAGACTGATGTTCATGCGCATTCCAATTGCAAAAAATCGTAATACCTGTAAGTGACTCGTACAATTTAACGAAACGAGACAGCATCAAAAATAACGAGAAATATACGACAGGTAGATCGCGGCTCACATTTTTATAAACGGATGTTTATTATCCATTGTATGGTATAATTGACTACCAAAATATAATGAAATTCTTGAATTTTAAGATTCAGTTTACTTGCAAAAAATCTTAAATGTAATTATCAAAATAAACGGAAGGATCCAAAAATCGTGTAAAATCAATAACGTTAGTTTTTTTATGCCTTTTCACCTGGTGTTTCAGGAAAAATATCACATTCATGTTTCTTATTTACAGTGCTAAAATTAGAAACCAAGCGTTCGACAAATAATATCAAAACAAAAATTAGTATTCTTTTTTAACTTTGCATTATCCTCAAAATTTTTTTTGCAATTTAGGCCTACACATTTCTAGGTTTTATAATATTTAAAGAAATTTTTTTTATTTTTAATGGGAATTTTTTGGAAGTTGTCTTTTCTGAATAACGATGCGAGAATTAATACGATTTTGTTTTTGATTGATAGCTAGATTAACGATTAGAGACGAAGATGCTTATCATTTAATTCACGCACAAGTTTTGATAAATTATCGATTTATTTTTTATTATTTTTACGTAATTTATAACGCATAAGATAAATTGGGAAATATATTATTCAAGATACAAATAATACTTTAGTTATAGGAAACAAGCACTAAGATGGCATCCTGATAAAAATCCTAACAATAAAGCTGAAGCTGAGAAAAAATTCAAAGAAATCAATAATGCTTTTCAAGTTCTTTCAAATAGTATGTTTAAACATTTTCATTCGTTTCAAATCACTGAACATTTTAAATATAAATTAGTTGCATGTATTTAAGCTATTTACACATTTGCATTTAAAGTATTTACACATTTGCATGCAATTGCTTTAACGTTTGAACGTGGAATCAATTTTTCTTATCTTTGCGTGATTAAGTCTATTTTTATTAATATAGGTTTGTTTCCAATGTTTGACTTGCACTTTATTGTTTATGTTAAAAGTTTTAAAAAATTTTAAATATTGAATCCAGAAATTCTCAAAAGTTCTTATAGAACGATCAAACTCTTATGGAACATTCAAACTTATTTATTTATTTATCTATTTTTATTATCCAACAGCTAACTGATATTTTTTATGACAGTTCCTTTCCATTCTAGCGACTTAATTCTTTTATAGCAATTACATTCCTGTGTGTCTCATTATTTTAAATCGGCAGAATAATAGCTTTCAAATGTACTACCTTAATAACATCGTTCAATAATCTGGATTCTATCTGGATTCCCTAAACTCTATTGCTTGAAACATATTTCCAAAAGATTTAAAACTGCTATTTTTTCTTGATGCATTAGAAGCAGGGTGTAGCCCCTTAAAAAACTCCGACTTCCAGGAAATTTTTTAAACTTCTGCATTATTATCACTATTAAATAAAAAATACATAAAAAACACTTTAAATCAGTTAATGTAATCGTTTTTTTTATTAAAATTACTCTATATTTATTTTTTAAACGTGCATTAAAAAAATTGAAAAATTTCGTCAAAAAATACATTATTGATATTGGTATTAAAAATGATTGCATATTGCTGAATATATTTATCCTCTAAAAAACGCGATCTCAAAAATGATTTTCAGTATAAAAAATAAAAATTTTTACTATTATTATTAGCATTCACTTCTTAACAATTCTCGGAAAAATTTGTGCAGCCCTTCTCGAAAAGGTAAGTTTTTACATCATCTTACTAAATGAACTATCGTGCAGAACTAGGTAGGCATTTTTGCTTACCTGCTTCATCTTCTCAGCGAACCAAGCAATGAATCCTGCGGAACCCTAACCAATAAAATCTGCTTCACCGACATACCATTTGCTAAAAAAGTCCTGTGATAACACTTCATCGAGAATTTCCGCTCAACGAGAATTTCCGCTACAACACTTTACTATAACCCCAAAACCACGAGGAAGGCGAAAGAGCAGAATGGCATGATCACCTGTGTCAAATTTTGAGCTAAGGTCAAGCAACACCAGAAGAACATCATTTTTCTGATTTACCAAATTTTGCTTTCTGATACATTTTTTTAAATTTTTCATTGGTTCAACATTTTATATATATATATATATATATATATATATATATATATATATATATTATTGATGAAAATCACGGCATGTTCGACGTTAGTTAACTTCCAATTTAACTTTTCGATTTTTCTAACGGTTGATCGCAAAGCATTTTCAATCTTCGGTGTTCAAATTGATATGTTGTGGTTGTGCCCAGATGCTCAAATATTTGTATACTGTGCCTATTGGTTTCTTGTTTGTTCAGAGTGAATATTTAGTTTTACAATCTTCAACATCTTAAAATATAACACTTTCACGTGTTTTCATTATCCATAAATATAACACTTTTATATGTTTTCATTATCGATAAATATAACACTTTTACGTGTTTTCATCATCGATAGTATATATATATATATATATTCTTCAGGTACGAGTACTTAAAGTACACCATGACCAAAGGTGCATTACTGTGAATACCTATCTTGTTTTATGCTAATGCATTTCCTCCCTAATGGGAATCATCAGTAGCCCGAGTTAAAACACCAACTTAGTTCAATTGCTATCTCGGTAGACATTACAGAATAAAGTGTTTTAAGTAATTTACAGAAACACATCTTGATCAATATAGACATACTGTTACTCTATCGAATAGGTGAGAATCTCCGACTGGCCAGTCTGGTTGACCAGTTGACCATCTCTCACCACGACTAAAGGCGCATTACTGGGAACACCTAACTCATTATAGATTAGACGCCTTTCGTCATTAATAGCCCGAGTGAGAGATGGTGTACTTCATGTACTCGTACTGGGAAACCGTACGGGCCAAACGTAGGAACCGTACGTACAGAAAATTCTCACTCTTTATATACTTATGTGCTTGTGGATTCAAGTCGACTCACTATTTTCATTATTCGGCAGAGTAACAGTACGTCTCTATCGACCAGAATATGTTTCTGTGGATTTCTTAAAACACCTTATTTTGCAGTATTGTCCATTGAGATAGTAATTGCACTAAGTTGGTGTTTTAACTTGGGTCACTGATGAGTCCCACAAGGGACGAAACGAGTCTAACCAAATACGAGTTAAGTAAATAAACGTTGTTCATTTAAATTTTTAATAATTGTTTACATCGCACATATCTTTTACGATGATGACTTGCAACAGCTTTTCTTCAATGTTTCTGTGTTGGTCTTCCAGCCATTTTGCTTTATCTGTTCTTGTAGCCTTTTGCATTTCGTGACATTTTGCTCTTTTGTGTTTGTCTGCCGTTTCACGCCTATCTATAGACTTCAGCATCTATTTTTCTGACACCTTATCGCAATTTTTTTTATTGAATTAAGGTTTAAAAAATTCAAAGTTTATTTTTTTTTAAGATATTTACGGTTGTTTTTATTTTGTCTTAACTGATAGTTTTTCTTTTATTGATAGAAAACAAGCGCTATCAATACGATTCATATAACAAAGAGAGTTCAACTAAAATGCACAACAAAGGAACATCTGGAAGAGACAGTTCTGACGTTTACGATGACGACTTGCAATCATTTTTTGATTTTTCATTCAAAGATCCTTTTGATGTTTTTAAGGAATTTTTTGGAGGCAGAGATCCATTTTCTGATGCAGGTTATTTTGTTATTATTTAGTTATTAGATATTACAAGGCTTACAAATTTTTTGAAAAGTTGGAAAGCGGCTTCTCAGAGTGAAGTTAAATTTTAAGTTCACAAGTATTTTTCACCAGTATAATAAATAATTCTTGATTTCAAAATTATACTTTTGATTCCATGTTTTGGAATTTATGTAAAAATGATTTTAAGAGAAGTGTATTTATTTATTTAAACAAATACTGACTAAAGTCGTCAAAAAACTTGTCAAAATGTTGAACCTTTTCAATTGAAGTGCTAATTTTTTTTTCCATCATTAGATTTTAGTCAAGGATTTACAACTTTTAACGGGTTAGTATGTTATTTTTATATTGTACACGTACAGTTATAATTTTTTAACTTCACATCAAAAGCAATACACAAAACTATAAGTGTCAGAACTTCTAAAAAACTTACATAAAGAAATGTGCGAAAAGTTCTGTGTTGATGCAGCTAGCCATATCCCATAAGTCTAATGTTTAAAAATATAAAGATTACTTGAAGGATTGCAATAATTACGGATCAACAAATCATGTTAACCGTCTTGAAAATGTGTATATAACTAAAAATAGATATAAAAATAGATAGTGTATATAGTGATAGATAGATAGTGTATATAAATAAAAATAGATATAAGTGTATATAATTAAAACTAAAAAAACAACTAAAACTAACTTTGATATGAGTGTTGATTATCTTCCCTGATTAAACAATACATGCTTAACAACCTGAATCACACAAATTCCTGCTGCGGTCTATTCGCTTATGCAGGCTATGGTTTCTGTTATTTAAATATATATATCCCATATCCATATATATATATATATATACATATATATATATATATATACAATATTCTATAAATTCTACCGAATGTTTGGCGTTAATATGTTTGTAGTTCGTTTTTTCGATTTTTCTAACCAAAGTTTTTTGGAGAACGTTTAGTTTATTAAAATTCAAAATAAACTTATTTTCCGAATTTATGCTGCATATAAGAAATGAACACAAAGAAGTAATAAAAACTACCATTGTAAATAATGACGAAGAAAAATATGATGCTATCGATGAAGAAAAGGAAACAACGAAGATGGACCAGTCAATAAAGAAATGTGACACCTAATTTCCATCAAGTTCACTTTCTCAAGATGAATATTTCTTTATATGAATCAACTTACACTGATGATGATTCATTCGGAATAAAAATATGGCCTTATTAAATTAAACTAAACGTTTCCCAAAAAACTTTAGTGAGAAAATCGAAAAAACGAACTACAAACATATTAACGCCAAACATTCGGTAGAATTTATAGAATATTGTAAAGATTATGGTCTATTACCAACACACACACACACACACACACACACACATATATATATATATATATATATATATAGTTTGGCACGAGGTTTTCGTTATAACAAATTTGGTTGAATGTTCTTGCCCATTTTGTATTAATTAATTTCTTTTGGGTTAGTTCAATAAGACGCAATTGTTGTAACTCAATTTTATTAAACCCGTCAAGCATTTCGAACGGCTGACGACATCGTTTCGACAGTGTATGTCATCATCAGAGCCTACGTTTAAATTATTAAATATGAATTGAATATTTAAAATTGTAAAATCAAGAAGAATAAACGAACCAAATTGGGAAAATATAAGCGTAAAATGATTAAGAAAATTAAATTGAAATTAATGTCAAAAGTATACGAAATTTGAGTAAAGGTACTTAACTTGTCAATAAAATAAATTAAATGTTAAGATAACTGATAATAAAATATACAATATACAAAATATGTGAAATGAATTTCAAAAGTTAAATACTGGAAGTGAAGGTAGAAGTACGAATATCGATATTGCAAATTTTGAATGACAACGAAACGTGTGTGGAGTGGTGGGATGGTACGAGTGTATATGAATAAATATATTATGCTAATGTGTGAATAGGTGGAATAGTAATGTAAGTGATGTTAATTATCGATTGTAAATGAAGCAAGGCATGGATATTATTTATCACATAAGGTAGTGAGTGACGCGACGACGTAGGATTTACGACGATTAGTGACAAACTGCGTATTGGCAGGTTGGAGTTTGTTGATTGTGGAACGATATTTGTATCGTTGTGGTACCGTCACCTGCTGTGGATCGTTTCTGACGGGGACCGTCGGCGTCGAATCACTATATTGGGAGAATAGCTGGAGAGTGTGGTCGAATCTATTGGTTTGTTTGTTCATGGTTGGTTTACATTTGTTGATGTGCAGGGCCTCACGGAGTTTCAACCTACCCGGGTGGGTTTCTGTATTGAGTATCTTGGTATTCGCATCGAGTATGGCTCGCGTGAGGTTCGTGCGCATTAAACATATGGTCCTTAATTTCACCGTCCTGTACATGTAAGGTGAGCCTGCGGGCGAGAGTAGTACGAGTGTGACCGATGTAGTTATCCACAACGCAGTGTGGCACAGGACACGTAAAACGGTACACAACGTTTGTCCTCTGCAACGCAGGTAATGGTGGGTTATTGCTGTTTTTTATAACGATGTTTGATGAGCGATTTGTGTTATAATAAATGATGAGTTGTAGACGCTTGTTGTTATCACAGACGGTAATATTGTTTTGAATGATGCGTTTAATTTGCAATTCATCGACTCTATAGTTGTCATGCATTTGATTTCTGTAATATAATGGTATGACTGTTTTAGTTTGAGATTTTTGCGTGAGTGAATTACTGTTGACTTTTAGGAGATATTTTTTGATTGTGTCGTCGACTATTTTGTTTGGGTAGTTGTTGTTGATCAGAAATTGTTTGATGCAGGCTAATTCGACGTTAAAAATATCGTTGTCTGAAGAAATTTTGTATGCCCTGTGAATTAAGTTGTAAACAACGTTGTTTTTGTAACGTGTAGGGCAGTCGGATGTGTTGTTTAGGACCTGACCAGAGTTGGAAGGTTTGACGTACACTTTGGTGAGTAACTGTTCATTTTTCTGTTCTACCAAACAGTCAAGGAACGCAAGACGTTTGTCAACACTCAATTCTATTTTAAATTTTAGATGAGAATTATTTTGAAACATATTTTGTAGATTGTATATATTGGTGATGGTTGGAGAAATGATGAAGATGTCGTCTACGTAGCGCGCATACATTGATGGTTTATTTGTCAAGTCGTTAAATATCTTAGCCTCGAGGTCGGACATATAGAACTCAGCAAAAAAGGGGTCCAAGAGGAGAGCCCATGGCAACGCCGTCGACCTGAAGGTAAAGAGAGCCGTCTGGTGCGACGAAAGGGCTTTCGACGGTACATGACTCCAGAAGTTCGACCAATAAACTGGGAGGGATATCGAGTTGTGGAAGTGTGGGATGGTTATACACGTTCTTAATAAATAATGTTGATTGTATATTCTATGGGAACGTTAGTGAATAGGCTCTCAACATCCAACGAAGCCATATGGCCTGTGCACCGCCTGTTATCGTTAATAATCTCGATGAATTCGAAGCTTGATTTTACGGAGAAGGTACGAGGGACATATGGCTGAAGAAGTTTGTTGAGCGACTTCGCTAACTGATACGTTGGTGTGGGACACTGTAATATGACGAGGCGCAGTGGGTTATTTGGTTTGTGAGTCTTTACGTTGCCGTATATATAACCATGGTTGTAATCACCCACTATTGGGGTGAGCTTAAGCGAGACTGATTGTAGGTTAACTTGGGCAATAAGTTGATTGGTAAATGTTTTAATGGATGTTGTTGGATCTTTGCTAATACGCTTGAATTTTGTTGTAAATTATCAGTGAATAAAATGTTATTGTCAGCAATTGTGAATAAATGTGTTGATGGAGGTGTTCTAGAACATCTCAAATCGATTAATGTCTAGGCGATATCGATATAATGTTATTCGGCTTTTAAAGTGAGGATGAATGAGGTTAGGCCTGGTGATTCGCATCCGTCTACATCGTTTCATTTATGCATTGATGCTAAGTATGCAGATGTTATATTAAAGGACAGTTCATGGCCTGAGAATGTTAAAATCCGGGATTGGACATTTGATGAAACACGTTACATCAAGATCATGACAAAGACTAGACAAGAACTTGTTCGATGAATTGTTTTTTATGTTTATGGATTGATATTGATTTTCATGACAATGCATTTATCTGATTGGTTATTTTTTATGTTGATAGCGTTTTTGAATTTTAACTAACTAGCGTTATATAAATTTTGATAATAATAATATGTATATATGCAATTTATTGATGAAAATCACAACATGTTCTTGCCGCGTTAGTTAGCTTCCTGTTTAATATTTCGATTTTTCTAACGGTAGATTGTAAATCATTGTCAAGTTCTTGAGTTCAAAATCAAAATTTTTATTTATTTTAAGCATGATAGAACAAAAAAGCTTTTTTTCGGTATTCTTCCTATTTTTATTTATTTTTATTTTAAGCATTATAAGCTTTTTTTAGGTATTCCTATATCATCTTCGGTGTTCAAATTTATACGTTGGATATGTGGCCAAATGTTTATATATATATATATATATATATATATATATATATATATATATATATATATATATATATATATATATACTGTGTCTCTACGATGATAATTTTCTGTTTGTTTAAAGTGAATACTTAACAATAATTTAATTAGTTATCAAAATCTTCAACTTTGTGCAATATGACACTTTTACGTGTTTTATCGACTATTCCTTTGTTTCTTAATTTATTAGTGGAAAGGATTCCAATGCACGTTGTTGAATATTTATTACGTGCATCGTGAGTCTTCTCGTTTTTCTCGTTTCCGTTCATTATTCCAATTCTTGCCAAGTGATTCCCTATTCCCTAAAATTCCAATTTTTGAAAGTATTTGTTTACCATCGCACATGGGAATCTCGTGTGAATCCCATAGTTCCCGTTCCCATGCAAGCCTCTAGTGGGGAATAGATAATGGGCACAGATGATGGCGGTAAATTGTATGCATATCAACAAAACTAAAGTGATAATAACTAAACGAGAAAAAAGAGATAGTACAATCAATATTCCCTTCAGAATCTAAAAAAAAAACTAGAACAAATCGACCAGTTCAGAACTAAGGCTGTCGTAAAACTAGCCAAAGTTGGTCAAGAGAAATTGAGTGATGAATAAGATGGAAAAGTTTGGATTTTAAAATTGACAAGAAAGGTGGACGCTGTTGGTTTCAACGTTCTCTTGAGCCACTCGCTCTCTGGTAGACCATGTTGAGCTATTTAATTGCATCACATCACTATCATTCCACGAAATTGCAGCTTGTTTATTTTGAAATAAAATTTTAACAACAACTTGAATTTGGGAAAAATTTTTGTTGCTCGTTTGATATAAAACAAATCATAAAAAATATCAATATATTATGAAAATATTAATAAATGTTGTACACTATTTTTAAATTTATTGAACATTGGAACACAGTTTGAAAAATTGGAAACTGTTGAATAAGAATGTTGCTTAGGGGGAAATTTTCAAGTGTATACTACTGTCATTGTTTTTATTTAATATTTAAATAATGATAATGTAAAAACAATTAATATTCAAAAAATGTTTACGGCATTTATTTAAAAAAGTTTTATTTATGTGTTTTTCACTTAAGTTATAAGACAGTTAAGACTACATGGCACATACTAAACAAGGTACCAATTTTTTAAATTAAAATTGTTTTCAAAGCGCGTTTGATGTATGGTTTTATCTATCTTAAAAATGAATGCCTATCGCTACACGAGTTTTAAAATATAAATCAATTTTTTCAAGTTTTCAACATTATCATATATAAAAAATATATGCCTCCGACACCGGCCTTTCAAAATATTCTGATCCAGCAAAAACTCTGAACGCCACCAACTCCCCGACTCTCTGCTTAAGTTAAGATATAATATCATAATAAATAATATGATAAAATATCTAATATAATGAAATATAACAATAAAATAATTAGTGTTTGTCACTTTTTAATATTAACAAAATGAGTACAAAATAAGGCAATGAGGAACAAATCAATGAAATATATATTGTTAGAGTTCCGTACAATATCATGAATTGCTAAAGATTTGATTGTACTAAATAGATAAATGTTAACATAATGTAACATAAATAAAAAAAATGAAGGGCGCTAACTTCACGTTCCTATGCTTCCAACCGAAGAAAAAATCATAAGTCAAATTATAATTATAAGTTAAATTCAAATTTTTTCAATTTCTTGCGAATGCAATGCGTCACAACTATTTTATGCGTAATTGATTATAGATTTTAAAGCATGATTTTCAACAAGTATATAAGCAATTTGCAGTGTTATCAATATAAAGATTAATCTACAGAATATCAACCAATGACAATTTGGCTGTTGGATCCGGAAGTGCGAACATAATAACATCAACGTCAACGTCAATTAAAAATGGAAAAAAAATAATAACAAAAAGGTTTTATTTGTTTTTATCTGTTTATTTCTAACCATTACTGTAATAAATTCATTTTTGTGACTTAGATTTTGAAAGTATCAATTGAAAATTATAAAATATTAACTGTCTAACTAACTAACTGACTAACTGTCTTTCCATTAAACATTTTCCCAAAAGTCTCGACAGTTTTACTTAAAGTTTTAAGTAATTCAATTATTACGATTTACATTCATTGTGCTGATTCTAATTCCCATTTCATCAAACTTTTTTCAAGTGCAATGTGTAGCTTTTTAATGTCACACTGGTATTGGATATGCTGTGCTACACGTTGACCCGATTCTCTTTCTCTTCTAGTTGACAGAAATATTTACAGCGTTATGAATGTATGCGAAAGAGAGCATTAAAAAAGGTGTCAATAAATAGGAGTATGTATCGTCCTACTTTTGGGAGCTTTATTTGTTACTGGTCATGCAAAGAGTCATTTATAAGATTGCGACATTGGTTTACAAATGTAGATGTGGTATGGTTCCTGGTTACTTTGGTATGTATGAAGGTGGGTAGATGAAATGTCCTCAAGAACTGGCTTTAGATCAGCTTCAAATCATATGATGTTGCTGTCTAGGATTAGATTGGAGATTGGTAGACAAAGTTTTACGATGTCAGCTCTCACAGTTTGATATTCATTATCGTCTGAAGTTTCGTTCAGCTTCTTCGCTCGCAATGTTTAAAAATAAACTGAAATAAAGAAGAGAAAATAATAATACTACTAATAATTAGGGATGCACCGGATTCAGGTTTTTCAAATCCGGCCGGGGCCGGACTTGGCCGGATTTAAAATTCAAAAACAGGCCGGAGCCGGGGCCGGATTTTAGTTACCATTTTACATACGTTAGAAAAAATACTCACATTTACGGTTATCTACATGTTGAACATCAAAAAATAACACCAAGCAAATAGTTAATTAATTCAAATATATGAATAGGTTGTGTGATATGCCAAATTCTGTACACAAAGATCAGCTTAATTTATGCATAACCCATGTTATAGCATAAAGAAAATTGTCAAGCTCATCTCACAATTAGTGATGTTAATATTATGTGTCATGTATGCACGTGCACAAGTTATTTTACACAAAGATCAGCTTATAATGTATGCATAATCTATGTTATAGCACAAAGGAAATTGTCCAGCTCACCTCACAATTAGTGATGTTGTTATTATGTGTCATGTATGCCTAGCCTAACCTTTAACATACCATGTTCTTAAATAATGCGATTATGTGTATATATATATATATATATATATATATATATATATATATATATATATATATATATATATATATATATCTGTCCTGGTTATGACATTAAGCTGACCCTCACTGCCCTGTGAGTGATGTTGGATCATCAAAGGCTAGGCCCACCGCTTATAACTGTGGTTGCGTAAGGAAGGGCGTCCTGCGTAAAAATTAGCCAAAAAAATTACTTATGATGACAGAAGTGACAATGGCCCTCAGTATCCGGCAGAATGGCATCGAGGGGTATTTCGGTTTCATCATAGGTAGCCAAACGGCAACCCCCGATCTTGGGGAAAATGTCTAAATGTGTGTTGTTGTTTTATGTATATGTATATATATATATGTATATATATATATATATATATATTATGTAGCTTTATGATCCGTCATATACAACTATATAGTATAAACACGTGCACAAGTTCTTTTCAACAAAGATCAGCTTATAATTTATGCATAACCCATGTTATAGCACAAAGAAAATTTTCCAGCTCATTTCACAATTTGTGATGTTGTTATTATGTGTCATATATGCTTAGCTTTTAACTTATTGACATAAAATTAATTGAATTCAATAAAAATTTTTTTCTATTTATAACATTTTAAAATTTCGATAGACGCTTAAATCCGGCCACCAAATCCGGCCGGGGCCGGATTCGGCCGGATTTGAAAAAAAAGCCGGATATTGGCCGGGGCCGAACTTCGGTGCATCCCTACTAATAATAAATTCTCTAATCCAAGGAAATATGGTGCAGATTTTGATGTTATCTTACACTCGGATTTTAATGTGTATATATGCATGAATATTCGTGCATGTATATAGTTTGGACGTATGCATGGGCGATAGGCTCCCTTGCCTAGAGGCGATTTATTTTTCACGTTAAATGAAGAAGGCTTGATGTATCAAGCGCGATAAGTCCGGTATAGATTTGTCTACAGCGGACCTTTATCGATGTTATAAGTGGTTCTATGGCCTATATTCTTGTTCACATCTGGATTGCAGTTTTAGGTATATCCAGATACGGATCAGTGATAGGTAGAAATCTAGTGGACGTGGGGACTGACACTGCGTAGTGGTGGTGCGGGGATCGATTCCAGGTGCCTTGCCTGGCCGATATTCATTTTAGGCTTTTAGGCTGCGGCTACTTTTGTCTTTTAAATAAGTTAATGGTATTTTTATTATTCTATCATCAACTACTTTTATCTCATTATTTTAAATCTTTTTCTTTTTTTAAACAATTTCATGGCTGTTGTGACTGCCTGTATGTTGTAATGCCTGTGGTGTGCGTTTTTTATATGCCTTTATGTGCCTTTAAGGGTTTTGATTTTATTTGGGTTTAAATAAACTTCGATTATTATTTCTTATTCCAGCAACCTT